AGCCTGTTGTCTTTAAAATAAAAATGATGAGATTGAACACGTTTATTTTTTTGAAATCGTCACTTAATTTACATGGTCTCCTTTTACTGCTTGCCTATGAGTACCTACCGTCGGGGTAAAAACAAAGTCTCAAGGAGAGAAAACGTATCTCTGCTTCGTCTTTCAATGCAATAACATTCTGTTCGGGAATGTCTGTACCCGTTTGTATTTGTGACTCTCTGTTAGTATTTTTGTCTGTGTGAGCGTGTGTGTATTCTCGTTAAATCATTTAGTCAAACATTCTGTATCAGGAGGTTCAGGTATAAAAATATCAACCGTTGCAACAAGCCCAACGGAATGCTACCGCAAGAGTATATTTGTAAATAGCCAAATGCACAATGATTCAGTCTGGCTGCATGTATCCTCGGATGTTGCTATAGTGAAATTAGCACTAAATGACAAAATATAACTACACGAATTAGGCAAAAAATGAAGATGAGCACTCTTGCAGCTCAAATACACTATTGGCCGTGCCTCCAATAGTCGCAAGAATGCTGAATTGGCTGTCTAGAAGTTTGCAGGTCGCACTAGCCGAAGTCAAGATAAAAGGTTCACAACCTGGGTTTGGAGGCAGGAGAAGAGGATAAAGTAGGATTTGTCGAGGCGACTAATTGAAAGAAATTTTAGAGGGTGCTCAAGGTTGGCTCCGCTGACAGATGTAGGGTATGTGCTGCTCTATTTTGGCCTGTTTCTATCGTCTTGTCACTTGGGAGATGAACCTGACAAACTCGGCAAAAGTGATGCCTCCAGAAGCAGCTCCATCCACGCTGGTGATCCAACTCCGGAGTAGAGAGTCACCGGCTCCGCTGCCGAGCTCCTTTAAGGCGGCCTTCAGTTCGTCCAGCTCCAGCTTGCCTGACTTGTCCTGATCCAGTTTGTCAAACACTCGACGCAGTTGAATCGGGCTGTATTGGCGTAAAATAGCAACTTTAGGTACAAATAAGAGAGTAGATGGTTCAATGGTAAGAAGATTAATGACAAGAGTCCTGCAGCGAGGAGGGCTGTAATCGAGGTTAGGAGAATAGGGTTCGACCTTTCTGAAGAATTGGCTACATTTGTGGCTATTGTAAGAGGCTGCCGTGTAAACCATGATAACCATGAAGGCTCTGCGAAGTACAGATCCCCTAGTCAGTTGTAGGGATGTTAGCGCATTATAATATGAGGAACCAGTTCTCCCTGACAGGCTATGCAGACTAACAAAAGGAGGGACTAGGGCTGCTTGAGAGGCAGAAGAGGCGAAAAACCGAAAGATCAAATCATCGCTTAGTTGCTATTTATGTTATAACTGAGTAGTTTTTAAGATTAAAAGTAATTCTTCAATAACACTTTAGTCAGCCGATGTTTCTTAGGGTGATTTAAGAAGTGATCTTTAAAAATTTTTCAAAATTAGATGAATAGGCCTTAAATCACCCCATGCGACCTAGATGGACTCAGTTCTTATTCAAGAATTACTGCTAGTCTCGCAACACTACTTATACCCAATATAAGTAGCATCATCTATTACATCGTCTATTGACAGTCCCACACAAAAAATGCAAGCTAGGAGAGGCCTGACATGCTTCGAATATCCTTTCTGCCCTGTGACCCAATGGTACTTGCGGCCATGTAGAGA